ACACACACACACACACACACACACTTCTATGGCAAAAAAAATAAGTTTTCTTACAAAACATCCAAGTTGCTCCTTTACCTTAAACAAAAGTAAAGAAGCAATGCCAAAGTAAATTAGCTTTACTTGCATAAAATTCCCCTCTGCCATAACTTTTATTTCCAACTTGCCCCACCTGAAGATGCTTCCGGCCAAATTTGTTGCCAAACGTTATTTTTTATTGCTGTTCTTGTGACAAGTACTTATAGTACTCATATTGAATGTCCAAAAGCATAAATTAGATATAAATTATGTTTTTTGGCAGTTTGTAAGCTTCATTTTGTGTGAAAAAAAAAATCTTTGTGTTCCACAGAAGACATAAAACCATAGCAGTTTGGAGTGACATGATGTTTTTTTAATAGGAATGAATTCATTAAAAATACATCAGCAAAACAGAACCTGTTTCCTATTTCCTTCCAGGCTTTGGCATGACCACTCCTGTCACCGTTGCAGGTAAGATCTTTTTGATATTCTACGGACTCCTTGGCTGCGCAGCAACAATCCTCTTCTTCAACCTTTTCCTGGAGCGCATCATCACGATGTTGGCCTACATCATGCGCTGGTGTCACGAGCGCCAACTGCGCCGCTCCGGCGTGGGAGGAGAGGAGGCCAGGAGCGAGGACGACAGTCTGGAGGGCTGGAAACCATCGGTCTACTACGTAATGCTCATTCTGGGCATCGCCGCCCTGCTGATCGCATGCAGTGCGTCTGCGTTGTACTCTGCCATGGAGGACTGGGACTACTTTGAGTCCTTGTACTTCTGCTTTGTGGCCTTCAGCACCATTGGCTTCGGGGATGTGGTGAGCAGCCAACGGGAGAGCTATAAAGCTCAAGAAGCCTACCGTCTCGGCAACTGCCTCTTCATCCTCATGGGTGTGTGTTGCATTTACTCCCTGTTCAATGTCATTTCCATCATTATCAAGCAGACGCTCAACTGGATCCTCGGCAAACTGGACTGCAGCAAGGCTCAGTGTCCGTGCCGTGGCCGTCCATACAGAAGACGAGGTCAGGCCTGTTGTTGCTGCTGCTTTCCACGAATTCCCAACCAGCGGCACAACCACCACCCTCCGCCGGGACATTCCCGGCAGAGGGCTCAAAAGCGCAACGCCGTGCACCCTGCCCCGGCTAACGAAGCACCAGGAAAGCGCTTCACTAATGCATCAGTGGAAACAGTTTGTGATAGTGAGACTGATGCTGGCTTAGGACCAGATGGAGGTTATCTGACAGGGCAAAGACTGTCTGGAGAAATGATCTCAGTCAATGACTTTATGGCCAACAAGGTTTCTCTGGCCATTCTACAGAAGCAACTCTCAGAGACCGCTCACGGTAATCCAAGACAGAGCCACGTTCGCCAGAATGGCTTCTCCGGTGGTGTGGGCGCCTTTGCTATCATGAATAACCGCCTTCAGGAGACAAGTGTCGACAGGTAGCTTGATTATACAAAGATGGCATTGGATATTGCACATTATCAAAAGATGACTTTAGTGAGGGTTGTGTTTAATTCAGAACTGAATTGAGAATGGCTTCAAAATTCCTGAATTTGAATTGCATTTAAGTTGCAGTAGCAAACAGGATGCAGAATTTGAATTTGAATTTAGGGAAGTATATTTAAATGAATTAAAATTCAAAGAAATGTATACAACTAATTTTTAACTAGATAAGCAAAGTTTTAATTTGTTAATGAGATTTACTTCAAAATGAAAATTCTGTTATTAGTCAGACATCGACTCATTTTCAAAATACAAATAAAGATCTTTTTTAATTAATAATAATCATGTGGGGAATAGCAGCCTAAATTAAAACTGCTCATCAAATAAATCGATCATATAACTTCAGAAGACTTAGATTAAACCACTCAATTCACATGGATAGTGTTTACAATGTTTTATTTTATAAAATTTTTTATATTTTTGGTGACACTGACTTTTAATGAAGGGACAGAAATGGTCTAAGGTTTCAATAAAAATATTTTCATTTGTGTTTCAAAGATGAAGGAAAGTCTTATGGGTTTGAAATGACATGAAGGTGAATAAATAATGACAGAATTTGTATTTTTTTGGTTGAACTATCCCTTTAAGACAAACTTTGAATGTTGGCTTGACAAAGCCTTAGTTTAAAGTGGGGGGGGTTTGAAGTTTTATAGGTCTTATGGTCAGATAAATAGACATATGTTTGAAATGCCACATAGAATTTGTAAACTAAATAGTATTTAATTTAAATATTTCATTATATTTAGTAAATCAACTTCTGAGGTCAAGGTTGTACAAACACTTAATTTCCCAAAATTAGTTCGCTGTACTGACAATCAAGTACAGTAAATTCCTCTCTTTGTCATTCCAAACCAAATTCCTATTCAACTGTTTGGATAGTTCAATTAAAATTCACACTCACTGACTAAACAACAGCCTGTTCTTCAGTTCTGAATTTTTCCCAACCATGATTCAGTACTAAAGTAAGTTAGCAGAGGTTTTAGCATTTATTGCACGCTATTAAAGATGTAAACTGTACATTCACTATTGTAATACACAGTACAGAGCGAATTAGATCAAATTAAAATAGCCAATTTACCTCTGTAGATCACAAGGACGGTGAATGTTAGCATTTATGACATATGTTTGAAATGCCACATAGAATTTGTGAACTAAATAGTATTTAATTTAAATATTTCATTATATTTAGTAAATCAACTTCTGAGGTCAAGGTTGTACAAACACTTAATTTCCCAAAATTAGTTCGTTGTACTGACAATCAAGTACAGTAAATTCCTCTCTTTGTCATTCCAAACCAAATTCCTGTTCAACTGTTTGGATAGTTCAATTAAAATTCACACTCACTGACTAAACAACAGCCTGTTCTTCAGTTCTGAATTTTTCCCAACCATGATTCAGTACTAAAGTAAGTTAGCAGAGGTTTTAGCATTTATTGCACGCAATTAAAGATGTAAACTGTACATTCACTATTGTAATACACAGTACAGAGCGAATTAGATCAAATTAAAATAGCCAATTTACCTCTGTAGATCACAAGGACGGTGAATGTTAGCATTTATGAATGGCTGCGTTCTAAAGAGGAGACGGCTCTTTGTAATTTTTATTTTTAACATAATTTATAAACTGACCATGTGATTTTAATGGTAACATCGCTTCTCAGAGTCACTTTGATGCTGAAGTGATTGGCTGGTGTGGTGAGCAATCACACTGTGCCTCTGGAGAGATCCTTTAACGGCTCTTCACGAAAACAGACTGATTTTCAAGAGCCAGACAGATGTAGCCACGGCACTTACAGAGAGACAGTCCCGGAGGAAGACATACAAGTGTCAAATCAAAGGGAGATGGTCAGTAATATTCATTGTTTAATCGTTTCTATCAAGCTGCCGTCAGTGTTGATTGTCCTAAGAAACAAATGATCTAAAATGAATACACATACGTGCAAATAGACTTGTAATGTGATAGTATCATCAGTCCTTTAAGAGACAAACCAAGTCATGTGTATAGATTCTGTAGATATTGTATATTGTAAACACAAATATAACTTCTTTGTTAAATATTTATTTTGGTATCAACATTTGTGTTTCAAATGTAATAGCTATACTCACGTCCTTTATATCTGTGTAACAGCAGCCCGTCATCATTCATTGAGCTTTTTAAATATGTTTCTGAGTGTGACATAAATACAGGGTTTGCAAATTGCAGATGGTGTTAAATAAGGAGCGAGTCTCTACTGCTCTCTTGAGGATGACAGTGGTACTGCTTACCGATGGTGTTGAAATATGAGCTCAAACACACTCACAAAATGTATGACTATAATTACCTATAGGCCATAAAGTCTCTTTATGTAGCAGGACAGACATTAATAAACTGAAATCTCATGAATAGCTTGATCTGTTTATTTTTCAACCTTTAACCTTTATGTTAGCACAAATATTGCACAAGATCTGTCAAATGTGCACAAAGATGGTTACGCAACATGATATAGCACTGCATCAGTTCATTTGCTAGTCATTAGGAAATATCTCGGTAATATTACACGCTTATAGATTGGCATAATTTCAAAGAGGTCAGTAAGGCAACACAGTACAGATCATGCAAACAGAGTAGAGCATATTACAGGAAACAACTATTCAAGAACAGGAAAAGTTGCACTCTGTGACCATATTATGAGCCTGTATAAACCAACATGTAAAAGTGCTTGTATTTAATAGAATTTGCTCTTTAGAGATTTTAGCATTTCAAATTTGACCTTAATTCTTAAAGGAATAGTTGACACAAAAATTAAAATCCTGTCATTAGTTACTTAACATCATGTTTTTCCAAATCTGTATGCTGTTGTTTTTATCCTTTTATCAAACACACACACACACAAAATAATATTTTTTTTCTAAACATTGTGACCATGCTTCCAAAAGAACTAAGCAGTAAAGACAAGTAAATCATTTTTGGGTGAACTATTCCTTTAATATAACAGCATTAGCTTGTCACTGTTCCTCAAAGAGTTCTGTCAAGTTCTGCCTTTTTTTTTATTGTATCAATTTAAATAATGACCTTGTTATATGCCAAGACTGAAGAGACTCTCAAAAGTTTGCTGTCACTGCTTGAACACATTACCTGAGTATTGTCGATTGTAAGACTCATTGAATACATTTGGTAAGGAAAATACTGAACGTATTACAGTCTAAAGAGTCAAAGTTATATACAGTCATTATTGTCCTGCATTGTGGCACAGCATTGCTTTTTGTAAGTTTTGTCATTCGTGAAACATACAAAAAGAAGGAAGTAAATTTTTTTTTTTTTTTTTGCTGTCCAAAAAGATCTTTCTAATTTTTTTGAGTTTAAAACACGTAAGACGGACTCTAATTGGCATCTGTAGGACCGAGTTCCTGAAAAGATACAAATGACAGGAATTCATATTAAAGTTAATGTACACTAATGACAAAAACAGTAGCTATTTTAACATATATATATATATATATAATATTATAAAATGGATAGTTCTGTACAGAAGCTTACCTGGGCTAATCTAGATCGCCGTGCCTCTTTCTGCTGATAGTAGGCTGAAATTATACAGTTCCGCCTGCAAATGTCAAGAAAATATGATATTTCAAAGTTTAGTCCTCTGTTCTTTTGGCAGTCATTACAACTTCATATCATTAGAGCTCAACTTGTGGAGCTGATTGGTGCTTTAGAGAAAGTGCCTGTACTAAGCAGACACTTGAATCTGAGAAAAGCTGCTTTCTACATGTACCTAGTGTACCTGGAAATTTCTCAGCAGCCTTTCAACTATAATCTAATATTTAGATGATTTTCTAATCTGTTGCTATAGCACATGAGTACCATTTGATGAAGTGCAATAAAAAATTTTTTTAACTGCAGTTAAGCATTTTGGAAGAATATATTAGCTCAATATTGATAGAAAGCAAAAACTACTCTATTATTCTATTAATAATGATGCATTTAAATATTTCAAAAGATTATATGAATTTATACATTGTTGGTCCATAAAGCCAGTCACAGAAATTTTATTTAAAATATTGTTGTTTCCATTTACTTGATCTATCACTTTTATTATTATTACTATTAATAATAAAAGTATTATTAATATTATAAATGCTTAAATGATTAAATAAATAAATATCAATAATTATTCAATATCAATCAATATCAATTATAAAAAATGCCTTTTAACAACAACAACATCAACAACAATAATAACATAAAAACGACAGAAAGATGAATAAAAATGCTAATCAAATTTAATATCGATATAAACCGCTTTAAAGCACTGGAATTGTGATTTATGTATTTCATGCAACAGCTGTGCCTAAAAATGTTCATGTCACATTCTGTGAAATAGGTTTTCACACCTCTCTTGGATAATTGCTGACTGCTATTTTGAGCAGAAGTAAAGCATGATATTCAACATGCACTCACTTGCTCTGAAGGCCACCCCCTGGTGGAAGTCCAGGAATCACTGTGGAAGCCAGTACTGTCAGAACTGACAGCAGATCAGGCTCATCACCTCTTGCGCTCAGCTCCTCAAATATCTCTGTCAAAGAAACATGCGTGACAATGATTTAATTCCTTAATCAGGCCGCTAGAGTAGGCATGGGCCTATTACCGGTTTCAAGGTATACCGGGATTTGAAAATGTCACGGTTTCAAAACCGCTAATATTTTCCGTTGTACCGTTCCTGCGGTATGCGCTGTTTTTCATGTCTCCTCAGAGACTGAAAGTGTAGGAATTCCTCAGGTTGAGTGCAGTGTAGCTAGAGAGTAACACGACCCCTCCCCTCCTGTTGGTGTGCGAGCGGTCAGTCACGTGTGTGTGTATAGATGGCCGAACTTAAAGGGGTCATATGATGCTGCTAAAAAGAACATTATTTTGTGTATTTGGTGTAATGCAATGTGTTTATGCGATTTAAGGTTCAAAAAACACATTATTTTCCACATACTGTACATTATTGTTTCTCCTCTATGCCCCGCCTTTCTGAAACGCGTCGATTTTTACAAAGCTCATCAGTCTGAAAAAGCGAGGTGTGCTCTGATTGGCCAGATCTACAGTGTGTTGTGATTGGCCGAATACCTCAAGCGTGAGACGGAAATGTTACGCCCCTCACCATACTAGGGCTGGGTATCGTTAAAAATTTTTCGATATCGATACCGATACCTTGACTTCGATACCGGTTCCTGAATGGGCCAGAGACGAGATCACTCACTGTTCATGATGCACGAACTATTGGAAGAAAATCCTCAATATTGATTTGGGGGTTTATATGAATGTGTTTCTGAGGGGAACTGATTGTCGTCAGAAAAGTTTACGTGGTATTTTCTTTTAATCTCGTCTCTGTTTAGTTCATATTAAAGCAGTGTTTCAGCGCAGTGCTGCTTTGTTTACAGCGGTAACCAAGGAAACGCGGTACAGTCTATGGGTGTTCCAGAAGCGCCTTCTGCTGTTTGTTTCGTTCAGGCATGTAGTATAATTTCACAAAGCTAGTCAGAACATTCTGTTTTTGCTTCAGCGGGAAAAGTTTTTTTTTTTTTTTACCCAGTCGTTTAAAAATACCACATTTTAGAGCTGTAACGACAATACCGTGAAACCGTGATATTTTTGCTTAAGGTTATCATACTGTCAAAGACCCATACCGGCCCATGCAGAAGACCATTTACTTTAACCATTATATGACTCCATGATTTGAAAGGATTGCAATCTTTGACGCAAGTCATGTAAATCTAAAGAGCAACATCAAAAGAAGCTAAATTTAATCAGATGGTTTACCAGCTACTTTGGACTCTAGAAAGTCCTCCAGCTCAGCCTCCTGGTGCAGTGCTTCAGGTGACAGCTGGGGGGCGCCAGGAAAGCAAACGAGAACGATGCTGATGTTATCAAGGCTCCCCTGTTAGAAATACATGGAGACGAGACAAAAGAAAAAAAGGAAGGGAAAGTTAGATGTGCAAATTCCGTGTCTGCTAAATGATTTAATCGGCAGTATCTTTTTCCTCTGATGTTTCTTTAGATAGGCAGTCACTAGCGTGATGCTAACTGCCAGTCTTGAGGCTTTTGTTCTAAGGACAACTACCTCACGTTGATGATTAAGTAGATTGGAATTGGTGACGCTAATGCAGACCTTATCCTTCATTTCTAAGGGATGTTGTTGGTTGTCTATCCCTACATGGCACAATGCTAGGCAGAATGCTGTAATCTCCTCACACCAAGGCTAAAAGTAGTTTATCCCGTTGCAGCTTAGTGGCTGAATACAGCCTCACTTTGAGATGGTGGTCGAAAGTGCAGTCCTGACAGAGCAGAGATCTGGCTTACTGCGGAGAGAAAGATGTTGACATTTTCAGGTCAGCACATCTTTTTCTGCAGCCTAAAGGCCATTCTGTATTTCTCTTACATAGTGTAACAGTCTGGCTGAAGTCAGCTTTGGATGCCATAGCCAAGATAGTCCATATTTAAGATTTCAATTCTAAAATACATTTTAAATAAATGGAATTTTTTTTTTATATATATATTTTTGTCAATATAAATACAGTATATTTGATTTCAGAAGAAGCATGTGACACTGAAGACTGGAATAATGGATGTGGAAAATTCAGCTTTGCATGACAGGAATAAATTACATTTTAAAATATAACACACACACACACACACACACATCTGTTTACTGTACACACACAAAATTTTAAAGACGGGGAGGTGCCGATCGAAGTCTGCTGCCGTTTTCATTTGAAATTTAAAGGGGACTGAGGTGATCACTAATTTTTGTACAGTTTATGGAGCTAATCGCAAAATTTATAGCCCCCCTAAAAATGGCCTAGCGACGCCCATGTTTGATAGAAAGGTATGTAATGGACAGTGTTGGGTGTAATTAATTACTAAGTAATTACTTACATTAAATTACTTATCCACTGAAA